AGTGTAAATACATACATTGGGTAAGTTATCGGGTGTTGATGTTTAGGAAATGAAGTTTATTAATTGATTAAGAATGAGAAATGTCTGGAAACGATGACGTATGAGACCTACTAAACGTTCATAGCTGGCTTCCACAATGATGGAGCAATATCTTACTGACAGATTGATCAAAGTGGATTGCGGTAGACAGAGGCTTGGCTCTGCCCCTGGCATTGCTGAAGTCCATGGGCGACGGTAAACTCACCATCAGGTGGGCCGTATGCTCGTCTGCCTACAGGGGCAATAATAAAAAAAAACAAAGCCGTCGTGACCACAAACTAAAAAAAAACGTGTAGCACTCGGGAACTGCCGAGGTAAAGCTATTGCATAGCATTTTTTATCAATTTATGCAGTTATAATTAGACAATGATAATTTAATATTAAAACAATAATAAAACAAGACCACGCTATATTAAACATTAATAATGTGTTGAACGCGAGCTACATGGTAGGCGGAGTGAGAGGTGTTAGGTTTTTTTCGTTACGGAATTTCATGATTCGGTCGCCGCGCTCAAGGAACGCGATAAAAGCTATGCAATAGCTTAACAAAATGGTACTGTTGCCTTTAATATTATAAGCATCCAAGGAAGGATTTTTGGAAGCTTCACTCTTAAGAGTTTGAAAAAAAGGGATAAACGGTTTGGAATTACCTCATTCTCAAGGGTAAATTTAGGAAAGTGAAGATTCTGCATATACTACCTTCCGATTAAGAATAAATACGCATATTTTATGACTGGTGGTAGGATATCTTGTGAGTCTGCGCGTGTAAGTACCACCAGTGCTTATTTTCGCCGTTAGCAGTAATGAGTTGCGGCTTAAAGGGTGGGGCAGCCATTGTTAAAACTGTTTGTTACCTTAGAACTCATATCTCAAGGAAGGTGGCGGCCTTTACATTCAAGATGTCTATGGGCTCCGGATACCACTTTACACGAGGTGGGCCGTGAGCTCGTCCACCCACTTAAGCAAAAAAAAAAACAATTTGTTGGATTTTTTTAATTCTTACCACATAGGGTTGTATTACGATTTGTGAGCTCACCTACACGTCAAGGAGAAGCTGAAATAGCCTCTCAAGTTTTTACAAGAATTAATTTTTTTGGATGTTCCTTACGTTGTTTGCCGATTGCGATGAAAAGTAGTACAGTTATGGTTGGTACATTCTTATCCGACCCAGGCGACGTGGCAACGCAAAGCCACCAGTCGCTCAAATATGTCGGATTCTTTGGACTCACTGTCGGTGCTTTTAAGCCCCCAAGCACCGGTCACCGTCCTCGTCGAATTCGAACGACAAGCGAACTTACTCATAGATACAGCTTCTCACTGGATCTTGTCATTGGGTCGCATTTCCGATCCGGTGGTAGATTCTGCGAAGCACTGCTCCTGCTAGGACTAGTGTTAGCAAATTCTCTCAGGTTGAGCCCGTGAGCTCAGATAGATATTCCATCGTGATACATTGATCGATTCCTATTTCATTCTCTTGCTCTTTTATTAGGCCATAGAAGCGATAAGCTAATTCGCATTTTTTAAGACTAATACTATATATCTCGTCGGCTTATCATTAAAGGTCTTATCTTATCGTCGATACATATTAATTTATGGACTCTAATATGAATGTTTAATAAATTTTATTACTTGACTTGGATAAATTTAAAGAAAATCCCCAATTATTAACTCAATTTAAAGATGCCAGAGGTTTCGTTTTCTTTCACATTGGACTTAAACAGTCTAAGCAAACATGTAAGTCGGTTTAAATGGTAGGGTAGTAGTTATTTCAAGACTTTCTTTTGTTTGAAAGTGGATTGTGTTATATGATGGGACAGGTTTGTAGGGTTATTCGCTACACCTGAGATTACAGCTTCTTGTCACAACGAGAAGGCTCATTAGTTTAAGTAATGAATAATCTCTATATATAAAAATGAATTGCTGTTCGTTAGTCTCGCTAAAACCCGAGAACGGCTGAACCGATTTGGCTAATTTTAGTCTTGAATTATTTGTGGAAGTCCAGAGATGGTTTAAAAGGTAGATAAATATGAAAATGCTCGGAATTAAATAAAAATAACAATTTTGTTTTTTCTTTGATGTGTCCCCCGTTGGTCTTTTATTTATCGATTGAGGCACTACGAAGTCTGCCGGGTCAGTTAGTGTCGAATAAAATCGAAACAAATAATAAACCAAAAAATATATGTATTACCTAATAAATTGGGAATTTGTATTTAAAACAACAAAGTATACTAGGTATAAGGTAACAAATAATAAGTACGACATGCCGTTGAAATAACAGATAAGTATCTTCTAAAGCACACACACATGCTGTCATCTCATCAATGAGAAATTTTGAGTGATTTCGCTTTGAGCTCTTTGAAGTGATTTCACTTATTTCTTTTGTTTTTACGCATTTGCAGCATGGCTTAAATTAATAATATAGTTATAGGAATGTTCAAAATATAATATGTCAAATATAGACGTCGTATGATTTCGTCTGTATTAATCACAAAATAATAATGTTAATGGAAGAATGATTTTTTTTTACTTGCAACCGAGTTCTATTTTTTTTAAATTAACTAATATTTTGAGACCAGTTTTGGTTTTGGTTGAATCACCAAAACTAATAATAGAAAATTAACAAAAGAAATATGGACTAATTGACCTTAAAATCAAACCTAGAAAGTTAAGAGAGTTAGGCAATTCCTTAACAAAATGTTGCAGAGAGTCTCATCCGAAGTGATTCTGTCGATTGAGTAATATCTCAGGTATGTCAAGTACCACAATTATCTTATCCGCTATAAATCGATAGCGCAAAATCAGCAAGAGCCTCAACCCTAACCAAAAATCCTAACAGTTGAGTTCTCGCAAATATGGTCAAGATGCTTGCAGATAAGCGAACATACAATTGTTATCAATCGCTATCTTCGTTGAATAGGAAATATTGGTTATATGGCACGTAAATAAATTTTTGAGGAGTTTATAACAATTAAACTATTATCTAATGTTTTATTGAATTAGATTAATCATGTGCAGGTCATTATATTACATATTAATATTTTAATAATCATTATATTACATATTAATCATGTAATAATTAGTGAACTGAAGTGGCAATGGGCCGGCCACATAGCACGAAGAGAGGACGGTCGATGGGGCAGAAAGATCCTGGAGTGGCGACCACGTACTGGCAAACGCAGTGTGGGACGGCCACCTACTAGATGGACCGACGACCTAGTAAACAGCGCTGGGTCTCGTTGGATGCAGGTGGCAATGGACCGGTCACACTGGAAATCTATTGGAGAGGCCTATGTTCAGCAGTGGACGGCGATAGGCTGAAATGATGATGATGATGTGCAGGTCACCTTGTATACATTAAGGGTTCCATGATGAAACAATACTATTAATCAATCGAGCCATGCAACGGTGTTCGAACCCAGCAGGTACCTATCCCGGTACTAATTTTTCTAATGAAGTACGTACTTATCAAATGTTCACGATTGACTTCCACGGTGAAGCAATAGCATCGTGTAATAAAAATCAAACCCACAAAATTACAATTTGTGTAGTTACTGATGGTAGGACCCCTTGTGGGTCCGCAATATTAAGTACCACCACCGTGTTTATATCAGCAGTGAAGCAGTAATGCGTTTCGGGTTGAAGAGTGGGGCAGCCGTTGTACTGTAAAAACTGAGACCTTAGTACTTATATCTCATGGTGGATGGCGGTATTTACGTTTTAGATGTCTATACGCTCCGGTAACCACATAACACAAGGAAGATAAAAATTAACGACTTTTACGGTCTGGTTTCTAAGATATTTCAAAAGGCTGTATGTAATCTTGATAAAAACTACAACTTTCTATTGGAATGAAAAAAAAAAGGCGTTCGGTTCGGCAAAGGATCACACGGCTCACTTTCATACGCGTTTTGTTTGATAACTGCAATCTGTGGCTTGTAGGAAGCGTTTACGTTGGAGCCCTCGTTGGAATACTCGATTTTTCATGTGGGGTTCAACGTGATATGAAACCTATATGTGAAGACGTGAAAAGTAGGGGACTAACTTCTTACAATTTTATAATTGTTACATGTATTGAAATAACAGTGAATATAAATCTTCAAAAAGATATTATTCGAGAATTTTAGATATACTTCCAATGTTTATGGAGACGTAGAATTTTTATCTACCAGGTATACGAGTATGTGTGTAGTGAGCTCCTAATTATCATAATTTCAATCCGACTGCATTGGGCTTATCTAATTATCCAAATAACTCAAAAAGTAGTAGTAGTTAGTAAATTTTAAATTCGTTAACTATAAACCTGTACTTCAAGGCTGTATATTTTTTATTTATTTTAGACCTTTCCTTTAGACCACTTAATTCTTAGCGTGAGTTAGTTTCGTGAAATTCTACCGGAAACAAGTTTTTTAGATAGCACGCGAACTCCAGAATTTGTTGTCGAATGTTAAAAACTTTCTTACCAGAGATAACTTGATAACTTATAACGACGTATCTAATTATATGTTGTAAATACTTTAGTTTTGGTCTTTTCCTAATTGGCTGGCAATATTTTATGAAGTAACTTGTATATTTTACTAGATTTATTTACTTCAGTTTACTTTACATCATAGAATCTTTGGGTTTGAAAAAGAAATATTTTTTGTACATGAATTATGTCATTATACAACAACTTATATGTATACTTATATTATTAGTGGAAGGAAAGAGGCCTAGAGGGCGTAGTCCCATGCGCTGGTCCGATCAGATTAAGACGACTTTGGACTCCGGCATCAATGTCACTATCCACTTCCTGGTGGACAGGAAGGAATGAAGGAACATAGTCCTAATAAAAGTGCTCCGTAAAGGTCACAATCCTCAGCATTGAGGAGCACGATGCACGGAGGAGGACAACAACTTATCAAAAGAATAACCTAAAGGAATCTTTCTTTCGTCATATAAATAGCATTTTATTAATTCCAGATATGTATTTACTACTCATCACCGCCCTTTTGGGCTCAGCTTACTCGTTCCCAACGAGCACTTTGAACAACGTCACAAGGAATACGGATCTGGCCTCCCAGTATGTCCTACCCGGAGAATCATTCCCCACGTTCTACGATGTCAGTTTATTCATTGATCCTGCCAATACCGTCAGTTTCAACGGGAAGGTCAGCATCAGAATTATCCCCAGGATTGCCACAAACGTTATCGTTGTCCAAGCCATGGAGATGACCATTAGAAGCATTAGTGTTTTTACTGACAGGAACAGCAACGAAAACTTATTTGCTAGTTTCACTCTAGCAACTGATGATACGCATTTTTTGAGAATCAGTACCAGAACACAGCTCCTTCCAGACCAGCCGTATATTGTAAACATTGATTATGAATCTAAATACGCGCCCAACATGTTCGGAGTATATGTATCTACATACCAACAAAATGGACGAACTGTGTAAGTATTTCAGTGATATTCGTAGATTTCATTGTCTATTCCCGGATTGTTTTATTTCTATGAGTTCGCTACCATTTAAGAGTTTTAAAAAATGCTACTATGTATATGTATGCTATCCGCATTTTTATCTGCGTTTTGAAATAATATACATTTCTCTTTTATTAATACTAAGTTATAGTGGAGTATTTAAGGTCGTAAAATTGGCACAAGACTGTTTATTTGATTGAATTTGGCAAACTTTAAGTCTCCGATAAAAATTCAGAATAATGTTTCAGAAATCTGGTCACTTCTCAACTTCAACCAACGTTTGCCCGCCGTGCATTCCCTTGCTACGATGAGCCGGCTATCAAAGCTATTTTCAGAACTACCATATACGCACCAGCAGCCTACACGGTTGTTAGGCACAATACTCCGGAAAGAACTGTCCCATTGAAGTGAGTTTTCTAATATCGAATTATCTTCTTTTTCACCACCTTATCCCACTAAGTGGGGTCGGCACACGATTTATTTTATTCCATTCTCTTCTACCAGCCGCCATCTTAACACTGACTCCTCTCTCTCTCTCTCATATCATCATTCACACACTCCATGTCTTCCTCCTCTACCTTGCACAACCATTTCCTTACATCTCCTAGTCACATGCATCTAACATCTAATTCTATTTATAATAATAACCGTTATTGCACTTCTTAAATTATAATATATTTGCTGAAGATATGAAAACAAATTATATGAATAATACATAATTTTGACTCAATATAACGCGTAATATTGTCACTTTCACTTGCACACAAGGGAGACGTTTTGATCGATAATATAAGTGACAAGCGCCAACCGCAAGATTTTTGATAAAATAAATGCATTGGTTTTGTTGATCTTCTCCATATCTATTTGAATTCAATTACTTCATAGAATAGTTCATAGAATTAAGAAAACTGTCAAGGTACGTTTGTGCAACAAGGCATATTATAAAGTTAAGGATTATTTACTAGATGGCTATACCATCCGGCTATGGAATGAGCTCCCCTCCACGGTATTTCCCGAGCGCTATGACATGTCCTTCTTCAAACGAGGCTTGTGGAGAGTATTAAGCGGTAGGCAGCGGCTTGGCTCTGCCCCTGGCATTGCTGAAGTCCATGGGCGTCGGTATCCACTCACCATGAGGTGGGCCGTATGCTCGTCTGCCTACAAGGGCAATAAAAAAATAATAATGGCGCTATGTGGTAATGAGGCGTTCGCTCCTGGCCTTTTAATTTTTCATTATTATTATTTTTTTAATTGTATTTTTTGACTTGTTTTTTCGTTAATTGTAAATATTTTTAATTACTTCAAAAAAGATATTGAGAAAAAACAAAAATAAAAAAAGCTCGCTGAGTTTGTTTCGCCGGTTCTTCTCAGGACTGTGGCTTTTTTTGGAACCGATGGTAGAGTTAACATTGTTATTTATATTTTGACATTCAACAAGTGTGTTATACTGACATCTAAGTTGAAATGAATGATTTTGAATTTGAATTTGAATTTGAACAAACCACCAAAATTATAATTTGTACTGAAAATCACCAATATTTTTATTTAGGGAGGACGTGGCGGGTTACGTGAAGCACGAGTTTGAAGACACCCTCGTAATGTCGACGTACCTGCTCGCCTATCTCGTGTCGAACTTCGAGCACGTCAGCAACGAGCAAAACCCCATCTACAGAGTCCCCTTCAGGGTATATTCTAGGCCAGGAACCCAGACCAACGCAGCCTTCGCAATGGACTTCGGACAAAAGAACATGGTCGCTTTGGAAGCGTACAACGAATTCCCTTATGCTTTCCCTAAATTAGATAAAGCAGCCGTTCCCGATTTTGCTGCGGGTGCCATGGAGAACTGGGGTCTTGTCATTTACAGGTAAGTGTGTACACATTATGGTTATTTAAGTGTTTCCCAGATTAATATCTGATGGCGAACCATTAGCTTACTTGTACAGTTTCCAAATCACTGCCGAGCTGCTAATGTCTAATCTTTATCATTTAGAGAAATCGTTAAAACTTAACATTATTCTTACTATTTTTAAATTTTTACTATTATTCTAATTTCAACGAGTCACTAAACACAAGGCGACTAAATACTGGCTTTTCAAAACAAGTATAGATAACCTCATAAATTATACACTTAGTATATTTGAGGATAGCCTGATTTTAAAGAGGACAATTATTATTTACTTAGTTTTTGAAAGTCGTTAAGGTATCCCTAATTATTCGTAATTTGTAATTACTTATAGAATACCACCGCATGTCTGATACATTTGTTTTTGTTATATTTTATGAATAGAGAAGCTAACCCAAATACAGGGCAAGGTTCCATTTAAATCTAGTTTCGGAAGCATGTTAAATATAATTTTAAAAAATTTAAAAAAAATATTGCTTCAGCTTCATTAGAAATTTATATTTTTTTGTAACATTAATTTGTTTTACATAAGTCATATACAAGGTATAAATATAGAGTTATAGACATATTGGTAAATTGTATAATCCCGAATATATTCAATACCTACAATATTTATTAAATTATATACGTATAATATTTTTTCTCAATATAAATATATAGAAATGAGTACTAATAATGATTGGGCAAGTTTTGAGTATAGTTGTATGAATACGAACTTTAAGGGGTAGTTTTGATAATATTTCGAATATGCCTGTGTTGAGAATCTACAGTTCGCCAGAAATGACTTTAAGGTTAGATAAGGCCATAAGTTTGAATACCAATAAAATGTGAGAATTCAATTTGGGTCACAATGTAATCGGATGTCTCTTTCAGGGAAGTGGCATTGCTGGTGACGGAAGGTGTAACGACCACAGCGACCAGGCAGAACATTGCCAGGATTATCTGCCACGAGAATGTGCACATGTGGTACGGCAATGAAGTGGGTCCGCTGTCCTGGACTTACACTTGGCTCAACGAAGGTTTCGCAACGTTCTTCGAGAGTTTCGCCACTGATTTGGTAAGTTCGTGTCTCCGTCTGGGCTATGTATGGAGATAAATCACTACCTTACTATTGGTGTTTACCCTCAGACACAGCCCACTGAGTTTCACGCCGGATCTTCTCAGTGTGTCGCATTTCCGGTCCGGTGATAGATTCTGCGAAGCACTGCTCTTGCTCGGGCCAGTGTTAGCAACGGTTTGAGCCCCGTGAGCTCACCTACACGTTAGGGCGAAGCTAATATAGCCTCTCAAGGCTATCAGCATAGGTAGAAAAAAAAAATTGGTGTTAATATCATTAGATGTCAGAATATTGATTGTAACGCGGGTAATTGCGGACTGCACATGGGAGGCTTAAATTTTTTTTTAGTTTTCTTACCTGAACGAATCATAACCAGTGAGATCTACAAGAGAATTAAAGTCACCGAATCGAAAAGATAATGAGCCAATGGGTAGGCTATGTAGATCAAATGAGGAAAAATACTCTTAGGCACGCTACACACTGAGAAATGTATTGTGCAAGGTTCTCTGCTTGAACCAATCACCTTGTCACAAGCTCGCTTGCTGAGGAAATAATCTCTATGATTTATTACGATGATGCTCTTAAGCGTTGTTCATACAGGGTTGGCATAGCCGTAAATTTTCTATAATAGTACAGTCAAATAATAATAAATAAACTATTGCTTCACATGACGGGATGTTTGTGAGCCGTAAATATATGGGAACAGTTACCCGTCATGCATTTTTTTACGCAATCTGAAAAATGTAAGACTGTCTAATACATCTTGATATTAATACGTGAAACAAAAATGTTGTACCTCCTTTTACGGAAATTGCGCGGACAGAGGAGTATGAAATTTCCTACACAAAGAGAATATAGAGAAGGAGTGCAGAATGTTAATTTTTTTTAAGTATCCATAAAAAATACTTTAAATCAATAAAAAAAAAACACTACACACACTACCATGTATTTGACATAACACATGTATTATACTCTACTTTGTTTATTGTCAACTTTTGGTTTATATTATTTGTTTTTAATGCGAGTATTATTTGTCTATAGTGTAGTCTTGATGATCGGACAATGCCCATTTTCTTAGGGCGTTTGGGCCCCTAAAAAAAGTTGTCGGGTCATGATGGTTTTAACTTAATTTGATAGACAAAGAAATATCGTTTCATATTCAAAAAAACATTTTTATATTCTCACCCAGGTTTAAGAGAAATCTGTTTTTTTCTGCAGCTAAAATTAAGTTGTTAATTGTTTTCTTCGAAATCAATAATCGCTCTCATCATTATTTACAGTATTAAATAAGTTAATTGTGGTTAATATTGCCAGAAATAAGCCCTTACGTACATTTTATTATTACTATATCCTCAGAATAATAATACAATGAAATGAAAATCCGGAAGTCGGCAACGATATTGTTGTTGTTGTTTTTAAGTTCACCAATAAGCAGGCATAGAGCGTAGCCTATACAGCCTAGTCTGTCGAAGTTATATNGTAAATCAGAAAAACGAATTATTGACTTTGTATTCCATTGGCAGTCACAAAACTCTTCGGAACGACATCTTAGATAAATAACAGGTTAAGTATTAACCTTTATTTAATGCAGGTTTTGAACCGTATTCTTTGAAGGAGACGATTATATTCAAATCAATCTGTATTGATATATCAATAACATTTTTTTGTCCAAATGCACTGATTGCCACCTTTGATAATAGACTACTCATATATTTTTTTCAATAAAAAGCTGGTGTATCTCTTTTTATTGCTTTTTGGGAGTTTTGACGTCAACTCGATGAATAGCACATTGAGTGAGCGTGAATTTCCGCAGACCTTTTATCTTGAAAAAAAAAAACAGTCACTGCTATTTTAGCCACAGTTTTATTCCAATGCCTCAATAATCGTGAACAACGATTATTGACGTTTAATACACAAAACAACACCCAGTTTATATATCATACATCACAATAAACTATTAAAAAAATATTAAAATAAAACTTCAAGTGACGCTTCTCTCGGGTTGCTGCCAAAACTCTGATCATATATAATAAGAATAGAGTAATAGTAGGCCATTGAGTTTTTTACTAATGGAATCAATGATATCTAAAAATATTAAATAATTCATGGTTATAAGTAATAATTATTATTACAATATATATAAATATTGAATTGAACAAAAATAAACTAAAAAGTCTGTGAATTATAACCATTAGCTATTTTTTTTAATTTTTTGTTCAAGTCACAGACAACTCTTTCGTTTGGCAGCTTAAAGGTTTACTATAAGGCTTTATGGGCTAAGCCCTTTGCCTATTGGCGAATTTAAAAACTATGGCACTCAGTTTTGGGATGTTATCAAATAAGTAATTTTTTGTTGTTGTTAAACAATGCCAGGTTGAAAGAAATGTTGATACATAAACCAAACAACGTGAAAAAATAAGGCATAGTTTTTCAAGTACAAATAGTTTTGACATAAAGTTGGCCCACTTTTGGGCATTTTCCTTTGTGAATATAGAAGTATAATAGTCTTTGATAATAAATAATAGCTTAAAAAAACTAACAAAATACGCTTTTATAGGAAATCCAACTAAAAAATAGAAAATAAACTTTCATGGGGTGCATGGTATATAAGTAGTTATATTTTATGAACAGATATGAGTAGAAGGGTTATTTTGATAATATCCTGAAAACCAGTTGAATTTTCTGTAAATGCGTATTTTGTTAGTTTTTTCTAAGCTATTATTTATTTTTGATTTTTTAGTTGAATTTCAGTTTTATCATTCCTTTTTTTTTAAATTTTTTTAAATATTGAATTGTCATCGGTCCTTAATAAGTATACCAAATTTCGAGTTAATCCGACGTTTTGAAGAGGGTCAAAATCATGTTCAAAGATTCCGTTACAAACATACATACATACGTCTGAAGCTAATAAAAGCGTATTAATAGAACCGTAATAATGTTACTTATAATTTCAATTAATTTTAGTCGAATTTCGACTACTGGGGGACCATTAGTTCTCTTAAATTATTTTAATTTATTTTGGTACAGGTACTTCCGGAATGGCGTATGATGGAGCAGTTTGTGGTGACCATGCAGAATGTGTTCCAATCGGATGCTGTTCTCACTATCAACCCCATGACGCACGCGGTCTACACTCCTTCTCAGATCATGGGACAATTTAACGCCATTGCCTATCAAAAATGTAAGATTATTAGTATTGAATTGATCTCTAATTCGAATACAGTGTGCAGAGTTCATAATTTGTATGAAATGGAATCGTTTGCGTGCGTTTGCCGCTAGGGGCGCTGTTCCAACTCCATACAAAATTGGGTTAACTTTTACGCTATCGAGAACTTTAAGAAACTCGCACTAAGCACACTGATTATTAAATAGGTTTAAGCGAACTGCCATTTTGGCCGATGCGGATATTTCTTCTGGTTTTATTTCACAGAATTTTACTTTTTTACTTTTAATTTGTGTACTGAAAGTTATTGAAGGTATCTTAACTCAAATAAAGTAAGTAAGTAAAGATATGAAAATCGACGGTCGCTTAAGTAAAATTCTATAAAATCAAAGCTACTCAAAGAGTGGTTGTTGTGTGACCCTGAATACACAGACCCGGTTATGGCTTAAAAAGTTTCGTCTCGGCAGACAGTTTATCGTCTCTGAAGCGGTCTAAGCCACCACCACCACCAGCCTGCCTATTTCTGCCGTGAGGCAGTAATTCGTTTCGGTTTGAAGGGTGGGGCAGCCGTTGTAACTATACTTGAGACCTTAGAACTTATATTTCAAGGTGGGTGGCGCATTTCCGTTGCAAATGTCTATGGGCTCCAGTAATCACTTAACATGAGGTGGGCTGTGAGCTCATCCACCCACTTAAGCAAAAAAAAAAACGTTCAGTACTGACCATTGCACATGACAGCTTTCCTAGTGCCTAGTGGTTACTGAAGATATAAAGACCCAATCTTCAAACCAGAACAGGCTACTTCCCATCATAAAAGACTTAATGAATAACGCAAAACTAATAAAGCTAATGTAAATTAAAAGATCAAGGCAGTTAATATGCAATGCCAAAATTAATTACTGCATACATGAGTCACAAAAACCTATCTTTCACTCGGTTTTCCCTCTTCGTGTTTTTGTTACGTGCGAGATAAATCATACGTCAAAGCTGAAGTGACAAAGAATTACATATCAAAAAGAACGTGTTTGTTCGGGCCATAGAACCAGCGATCTTGGTAAAATCATGTAAAACTTTGCTGTCAATGACGTCAGTGCCAAAACGGGGTTACGTTGACTTCAAGTGCCGCAACCTTTTCAATTTTTAGTTGTTTGTAGATTACGAATGCCAACAAAACATTGATTGGATCAAGATATTGTTTTATAGTAATTTATTTATAACGATCAATAGGCCGCAATGTAACTGAAAATGTTTTTGGCCTCTTTTAAACTTTGATAGATATAAATAATGTTTCGTTGAATTCAATGTTAAATAATCAACATTTAAAATTGATTAAACGTAGGTGGTAAGTTCTAATTATTGCTACAATAAGTATACTAGCAGACGCGAACCTGGCAGATCATAGTTACCTTTATTCACGGAAATCAAAAATGCACAGCTAATTCACGAAATGAAAAACCTATAGCTGAAATAGAAAAATTACTGCACATATTGCCCCACTCATCTTGTCCCACTCAGCTTTAATTGTCTCAATCTACTGCTATATCACTCACCCTCGTCACGAAAAAGATCTCAAGCACGAAATCGCACTGTCAAGTTTCTGTATAATGACAACTAATATAATAAGAAAAAACGCGAAGTGTTTTCCTGAGGGCTTTGGTTAGTGATATTGGCAACGATTGCTTTTTTTAACCTACAATTCGTTTGTTTAGTATTCAATGTATAAATCGCTAATCTTTTGGCCCCAACCTGAGTTATGGTTGATGGAAACATCGATGTTCTTGTTATCGAAATTGAGAAATTGCTTGATAGACATTTATCTCGGTTATCTATCCACACTTCGTGTGCTATTTCATGTCTCAACTACTTGGGAACTGTGTGGTCTAAAATAGGCGTAATCGGAAATGAAAACGAAGTTAGTAGTAGCCGTGCTAACTTTATTAATTTACTTAGAGTTATTTTAGAGAGACTTTACTTTTATGGGTTTTATTGGCGCTTAATTAGAAGTTCAAGAGTCTTGTACTGGTTTTAGAAAATGTTATCAACCAACCCAGGTCAAGGCCGCCATCTTATTTGTTCCTGCCTCAAAATAATCACACATTCCATTTTTAATACTCGCTTTTCTAAAGCTATTGCATTATATTATTAGTCATTATTAGCTTAAATTTTAAGTAGGCAGGATTAGAAGAAAAAATTATAAAATAAAAAAAACAAAACGCATGCTTTGATAGCAAGCTGGTTAATGGGCTGTGTAGCGACAATAGATATGCCGCACTTGAAATCGCTAAAGACCAAAAGACCAAAAGACCTGCCGGCCGGCCACCAAACCGTTGGTCAGATCAGATAACTGGGCTCACTGGGCTCTTTGTTGCGAACGCCCTGCGAAAACCGAATGAAATGGAAGCTGACGGTACAAAGAGCCAGGGCTTTCAGAAGGGCTTTCAGGGACACGACCTTCTGCAATGAAGTATGCGACTAAGAAGAAGAAGAAGAAGAAGAAGAAGAAATCGCTATTAATATTTCTGGACTTGAGATTTCAGTAAAAATATAAGATGCTTTTATTTCAAAAAGAAATTGGCGTGTGTATTTCTGAATCAGTAATGGTACAGTTTTATAGGATAGTGGGGTCAGGGAACAATATTCTGAACCAATTGCATCGGCACACGTTTCTTGCGTCACACACAGCTCGATAGTTTTATTGGTGGCGAAAATTTACACAATAATACCAATAATAAAATACAGCTGCAATCATTTCAAGGTTCGACATTTTCTGCTGCAGATGCGTGAAGAGGCTGATAAAATAAATTGGGTTATTGCTTACGCATGGAAATATTGAAGTTATCCGGCCTAGGCGACGGGGCAACGCTTTTTTTATTTTATTTTTACTGCTTAGATGTGTGGACGAGCTCACAGCCCACCTGGTGTTAAGTGGTTACAGGAGCCCATACACATCCACAATGTAAATGCGCTACCCACCTTGAGATATAAGTTCTAAGGTCTCAAGTATAGTTAAAACGGCCGCTCCACCCTTCAAACCGAAACGCATTACTGCTTCGCGGCGGAAATAGGCATACCACCACCCGGTGGTACCTACCCGCGCGGACTCACAAAAGGTCCCAGTAGGTAGATGACGCAAAGCCGTCATCGCCCGAAACGTCTCTTTTCGGATCCTTCAGATTCACTCTGAGTGCTTTTAAGCTCTTCAAGCACCGGTCACCGTCTTCGTGAGAAATCTACGTGCGAACTAGCCAGTAGACACAGCCCACTGAGATTTCGATCCGATCGCAGATTCTGCAGCACTGCAGCACTGCTCTTGCTAGGGCTAGTGTTAAATTCTCTCTGGTGGAACCCGTGAGCACATCTACCCGTCTGGTTGTAGCCCTTAAGCTACCAGCGAATTGGTAGGAAAAAAAATGTTTATTTTTTGGTAGGTTAATCGAAAGATTTCGTTACTTATACAGATCAAACTAATAAAAGTTTGTTAAGTTTTCTTTTTCCTGTATCTTTCTTGTATATAACTGATAAAAACGGTAATTTCTTTGACAGCCGGCTCGGTGATCAGAATGTTGCATCATTTCCTGACACCGGAAATATTCAGACGAGGTCTCGTTATTTACATCATTAACAAGTAAGTAAATATATTATTAACATCTCTAAATTATTCTGAAATGCAGCTTGAAGTTTTCACTCAGTCGGATAAACAGTATTCCAACGCAAAAATCCGTGACAAACAATAGCAGATACATTTGTACAATAGGCGGTCTTATCGCTAAAAGCGATCTCTTCCAGACAACAGTTTAATTTACAGAAATTCTGGAAAATATAAAAATATAGCAGGTATGTTGCGGTGTACTATAGATAATTATTATAGAAAATATATACATAGTACTTATTATTTTTAATAATTATAAACGGAATAAAGACGTGGTAATTCTTAGGAAATTGTAATTGGAATAGGTAATGCTATTAAATGATAATGAACTGCGAACACACTAGGGTATTAGCAACTAGCTAGAAGTTGTGCTAGAAGATGTTCTCGTATTCATTAGCCGGATCAATTATCTGTTCTAAAATCCTCAGATGTAACTGGTGTGCTTAGAAGAGAACCTTTCTCATCAATAGCACTCAGATTATTTGTTCCTAAGTTCGGTTTTAAGATATGTATCTTTTAGAACTCAAGATAAGTATAGAAAGACACAAATTCCTGAGTAGCTATTCAATTTAGGTAGATTTTGTTTTGTAATCTGACCTTCTGATCTGATGACCTTCAGTACCTAAATGCGCCTATTATAATATCTTGTTGCTGAGGATGTAATTGATAAGAACCAGTTGTTAAAGCGCGCGAAAGTTAAAGTCAAACTTTAAATCGGGAACATTAGTTGGGTACGTATTTCATTAGAGAAAATTATACCCGCCTGAGATTCGAACACCGGTGCATCGCTCAACACGAATACATCGGACGTCTTATCCGTTAGGCCACGACGACTTCTAAAACTACTGAGACCTTAGAACTTATATCTCAAGGTGGGTGGCGCATTTACGTTGTAAATGTCTATGGGCTCCAGTAACCACTTAACACCAGGTGGGCTGTGAGCTCGTCTACCAATCTAAGCAATAAAAAACAAAAGTGAGGTGATGATTTCATTTTGTTAACCTGTGATAGCTCCCGTCGTGCTGCCGGGCCGTCAGACTTATATGCTGCTCTCCAACAAGCCCTGGATGCGTCCGACCACAGCATCCCGTACTCGATCTCCAATGTGATGAGCAGATGGGTCAACCAGGGAGGGTTCCCAGTGTTGAACGTGAGAAAGAGCGCCCCGAACGCTAATTCGGTCTTTATTTCTCAGGTACAGATTTTATTTTTGTTCTTTTTCTTTCTATTATGAATTTCTTATCTCTTCTTCAACCCGTGTCTGCTGAGTGTAGGTATCTTCGAATGCACCTCATTCTCTTATCACTAGCTCCTAAATTTACTGTTTTCAGATCATGTCAATCTTGACCTGTACCATTATATGTATCTACAAATTATTATTAGCCTCTGTTACCTAGCCTAGAAGCAACACGACAACAGTTAAATAATTTTGAATTTATAACAAAGTCGACAACTGGAATTGGGTGTTGTTAAAAAAAAAGTTTGATTCGATACCTGGACGTACTCACAGCCTACCTGATCTTAAGTGGTTACCGGAGGCCATAGACATCTAGAAAGTAATGCTGCCACCCACCTTGAGACATGAGTTCTAAGTCTCAGTTTTTACAGTACAACGGCTGCCCCACCCTTCAAACCAAAACGCATTACTTCTTCACGGCAGAAATAGGCAGGGTGCTGGTACCTACCCGTGCAGACTCACAAGATATCCTACCACCAGTAAAAGCTTACCAGTAAAATTTTCGCAACCACGTGCGAAGCTTATGTCTGCCACGAAAATAAGCTCTTAGGGTGCCACTTAGTCTATCTGATGTTGAACTAAGAACGCGTGAATATAACGTTGAATGGCTAGGGTTGTCTTCAATAATCATAAATTAGACCAATACTGATTATAAGCTATATTATTCAATTTGCTTCCAATTTTTTTCCTCTTTCCAGGAGCGATATCTCACAGACCGCTCTCTGACGTCAACGGACCGTTGGCATGTGCCAGTCAACTGGGTACTGTCTTCCAACATTGATTTCTCTGACACAAAACCCCAAGGTTGGATCCCACCGTCGTTCCCTGCCACCTCGATCGACATTCCTGGATTGGCAAACGCCGAATGGTTCATTTTTAACAAGCAACAGACTGGTGAGATACATTTTAGAATTTCAGAATTTTGAAAATTTGAAATAACTAATAACAAAATAACGAAGGCGATTGCATGCAGTAGAGATGCGAATGTTGCAATGGATGTATGGAGTAACGAGAATGGATAGAATACGGAATGAATATGTTAGAGGAAGTCTGAAAGTGGCACGTGTGACAGAGAAGCTGAGAAGTACGCGTTTGGGATGGTATGGACATGTGATGAGACGAAATGAAAATGAGGTTGGTAAGAGAATGTTAACTTTGAATGTGGAAGGATATAGAGGATATAGAGGAAGAGGTAGACCTAAGAAGAAACGGATGAAAGACGATATAAATAAGACGGGGGTGAGCGAAGAAATGGTATATGATAGAAGAATATGGAAGGAGAAAACATGTTGCGCCGACCCCAGGTGACTGGGAGAAGAGCAGGATAATGATGATGATGATGATGATGATGAAATAACTGTATGATGGTTAATGTTGGTAGAAATTGATATGATAATAGTAGAATTTGATTTTTATCAATCTCTACGTTGCTAAATGAACCGAAGAAGTGAGACAGCATTTTTAAAGACTAAATTCGCTGGAACAACACGAGAAATCTCTTCCAACGTACCTTGTTAAAAAAGGAAGCATTTAGCAATTGTGGTTTAAACAAAATGTAATGGATTATATATTTATATGTTATCGCTTAGATAAGAGGATGAGCTCACGACACATCTGGTGTTAAGTGGTTAGACACCAAAACATAAGTACCGCCGTCCATCTTGAAATATGAGCTCTATAGACTCAACTTTTTACAGTTCAACCGCTGCCCCACCCTTCAAACCGAAACGCATTACCGCTTCACGCCAGAATTAGGCAAGTGGTGGTACCTACCCGTATGGACTTGTAAAACATCCTACCATCCGCAAAAAAATATTAAATATATGAAAGAAAAAAAAATGTGCATATTTTATGACACATGTATCAAATGTATATTATTAATATGACACACGGAATAGTTTACATATAAACAAATCCTACATAACACGCATATAAAAAATGAATAGACATTAGGCCGTCTATAAAAAGTACCGTTGTGACTACTTCGAAGTGGATTACATGTTTTGGTTGTTCTCAACTGAAATATTATTGATTGTGGTTTCACTTAAGGTCTCAGTTTCAAAGATCTGTATTTGCTTCCAAAATTAACGCGTCTTATCTACATTAGGCTACTACCGCGTGAACTACGATCCGGAGAATTGGGCGGCCCTCGCAAGAGTCTTACAGACCAACCATGCCGTTATCCATCTCCTCAATCGCGCTCAGATTCTTGACGATTCCTTCAACATGGCCAGAAATGGGCGCCTGGTAAGACTATTGAAACAATATTAATACGAATCAAGAGTTTTAGTTTGTGATAGTGATAAAATTAGCTTATATCCAATGAAGATAGTATGGGCCCTCGTGGCGCAGTCATACCTTTTTCATTTTCGATTTCGATACATTAAAGGACAATATTTTCTTCGACTTAGGCGAGTTGTAGCGACGGAGTCGTCCAACAATTCAATTAAAGAAAAAAAATACAATAATTATGAATATTGGTCACTACTTACTACGTATTAGCGAAGGGTTAAATACATAAATGATTTCAAAAGAAAATCAAGCGTACTAATGTGTACATATGAGCTAATTTCCCTTAAAAGGTTTAGCCACAATTTTCATCATTCGAAACTCTGCTTTGCCACAAAAACAAAAATCTACAGCAAAAAAGTTGTCGTTTTAATTCAGTAATGTTTCGGAATAAACAGACCTTCCCTACCCATTTATTTGCCATCTTAATTAAAAACACGACAGCGCATTCGTCGAGCCAACGAGAATTCCATCGCACTATTTGCCGTTCCGTTTTGAAAATGCAAAAGGTAAAAAATGTATTTAGCAGAATTATTTCTATTGAATGAGAGCACAAAGAGAATCCCGATGTGAACGCGACTGGAAATAAATAACTTCGCTGCCCCGCATAGCTGACGGCTTGTAAATAATTAAAGTGATTTGTAAAGGGTTACAGTCGTCTTATTCCGGGTTTGAAAGGCTGTTAAACAATGCAATGGAGATTTCAACCTCATATCTCAAGATAGGTGGTAGCGCTCGCGTTGTGATATCTATAGATTCCTGTAAACCATTGACACCGGGTGTGTCGTAAGCTCATTCATCCATATGAGCTATTTATAAAATAGAAATGCATCCAATTTTAGGCCACTCTTGGTAAGTTACTGTAAATCTATAGACATCTATCTATAAACATCTTCGAACATGCGGTCAAAGTCTTGGTTTCTGAGTAGTTTTTAGTTTCAAGACCATCCTTGAAACTGTAACGCAAGGTTCTCTCTCGGCATAAACTGACGAGACGGTAGGACCGATACTTAAGAGCTCATAGCATGCACTATCACCATAACTTAAGGTATGTAGGAATAACGGAAAGTACAAAAACTTCTTCTTCTTTTTCTCCACCTTATCCCAACGAGGTGGGGTCGGCACAGCGATTTTTTCTATTCCATTCTCTACTATCAGCCGTCATCTCAACCCTCACTCCTCTGTCTCTCATATCGTCATTCACACACTCCATCCATATCTTCTTCGGTCGACCTCTTCCTTCTCTACCTTGCACTGCCATTTCCATACATCTGCTAGTACAAAAATATCGGAGGGTAAGTGTAATGGAAGTAGTAGCGGTAGCTAGAGCAAGTAAGCGCCATAGTATACTCATATTTACTCTTGTTATTTTTTGAGCTATTTTATTGAACACAATCCATCCAAAGATATCACTCTGGTTCGACCCCTATATCCAACCACCCACATTCAAGTATAACAAGCTTTGAATGTGCTTTCCCGTAACAGAACTATTTCATATGTGTTTTTATTTTCCAGAATTACAACCTTCCCTTCGAGATTTCTCGATACCTGATCAACGAGAAAGATTACATTCCCTGGGCTGCCATTAACCCTGCCTTCAATTACTTAGATATCGTTTTAACCGGATCTTCAGTATACAATTTGTTTAGGGTAAGCGCTTGTCTCGTCTTCAATATTTCTACAATCTACATCCGGGTTTTAGATTGTTGGAATCTATCTTCAGAATTTACCTAAGGCAATTTATATTTGCCAGTAGATTTGTGACTCATCTACTAATTTACTACAGTATAAATTGACCTTAAAGTAAAACCTAGTATCTTGCAACTTGCAACCAACTTCTTAAATTACAAATGGTAAGTGGCTCTAATATATGTATTATACATGACTGTGCAATAATTACTATTACATGTTTTCATGAAAATTTGATCCGAAACTTAAAAAACTACTTAGCAATACAAAACCATACAAAAAGTGATTTCTGCTCAAAACTAAGCGGCCTTAGTCAAGCAAGCAAGAGTTTTTAAATTTATTCAATTTAAAATAATGTTCTTCACAAACCAGTCTAGACTTATTGACATAATTATTGTTAAGATTATAAATATCATGATAAGATTATAAACTGAGACTTGTAACACTGTATTCATTTTATCAATGCATAAGGGTATGATATTTCCAAATCATTAGGATTTTCATAAGAAAACTACAAAATCAGTTACCAATTCAATTGTATTTGAACACATTAGTGGTTTTACCAAAGTTGACTTGGTTAATACATATTTATATCAAATATAAACAGGAGTATCTTCTGACACTGACTGCACCTCTATATGACGAAATTGGTTGGGAGGCGACTGCCAACGAGGAGCATGTTATGGCTTACCACAGAAATATCATATTGGACATCAATTGTCGACTCGGAAACCAGAGATGCATCACCAGAGCCCAGGAACTGTTGGAGCAGTTCCGAAATAATCCAAGTAAGCTGTTTTCTAGTTGCAATATTCAAAGGATATTTTAAGTTTCTTCCTACTTTACTGAATGTTAGCGATAATTTTCTTTGGTTTTCATCTAAGAAAAAGCTTTCAATCCTTCATAGTGTCCCATGTAACTATTCATAGTTTCTTCTCATAGATTTTAATTTTACTTGTTCCTATGACTCATTTGTTCGCTTGGACTGCAAAAAAAGACGTTTTTTTTTTGTATTGCTTAGATGTGTGATATCACAGTCCACAGTCCACCTGGTGTTAAGTGGTTACTAGAGTCCATAGACATCTACAATGTAAATGCGCCACCCACCTTGAGATATAAGTTCTAATGTCTCAATATAGTCTTCAAACCGAAACGTATTACTGCTTCACGGCCGAAATAGGCAGGGTGATGGTACCTACCCGTGCGGACTCACGAGAGGTCCTACCACCAGTAATTACGCAAATTATAATTTTGCTTGTTTTAATTTTTATTACACGATGTTATTCCTTCACCGTGGAAGTCAGGTTTTTTAGCGGTAGTCAGCGGCTTGGCTCTGCTCCTGGCATTGCTGAAGTCCACGGGCGACGATAGCCAATCATCACTTACCATCAGGAGGGCCGTACGCTCGTCTGTCTACAAAGGCAATAAAAAAAAGTCAATCGTGAACATTTGTTAAGTTCGTATTTCATTAGAAAAACTGGTACCAGCCTGCGGGATTCGAACACCGTTGCATCGCTAAAAACGAATGCACCGGACGTCTTATCCTTTAGGCCACGACGACTTCTAAACGACCACTTCCGTTTGCAACTATGTTTTGAGAAACTACTAAATTGGATTATCGTGTAAAAACAATAAATTAAAAATCTTCCAGCGAGCAAATATTACTAGATTTAACGATAGTCCAAATTATGTATTTCCAAAATTGTATATAATTAGGTAAATACAAACTTAACTAGTATTTTTCGTTACTGCATTTCAGATTTTTGCTAGATTTATTCTTTTTTACAATAGCTTCTATCTACACTTTAAACAATATGTCTTGAAAATTTTATCGGGTAGTGTACTTCAAAAATAATTAACCAAGATTATTTTTTTCTTTAGCTCAAAGACTGAACCCGGATTTACAAAACACAGTGTACTGTTCCGGTCTACGTGGCGGTGATAGAGATAATTTCAATTTCCTTTGGGAGCAATACTTGGCTACCTCTGATTCAAGCGAGCAAAACATCCTCCTCAATGCTCTGGGATGTACTTCGAACCCTGAACTGCGTACCTTGTAAGTAAAATCTTATAATCCTTTACAAATACCTAAAATGAGATCTTAATCCCCTCTGGCCAAAGAAACTTTTTGTGTACTTACAAACAAATTGTTATTTTGTATTGTATTGCTTATTTTAGTAATCAAAAATTTAGAGCAGGTTTATTAATTTTGTCATTTGAAAAATAATAGCACGCAAAATTTATTAAAGCGAAATAAAAGAAGAAAACAGTAATTAACAATTTAAACAGAATATATTGTTTTGAAATTTGTATTATCATTCATCATGTCATATCTTTTCATGTCTAAATTCTGCAACAGATTTTTTTTGTCATTAGCTACATGAACCAAGTTATCGATGCCAACTCACCAGTGAGGGAACAAGACCGGCACACAATTCTCGTCTCTGTCATCAACTCTAGTCCAGAGAACATGGACGCTGCCTTAGAATTCGTCATTGAAAACTTCCACAGGATCCAACCGAGGTGAGATATTTTTCTTTTTTTCAGTTCTAAGTTTTTCAGTTGAAGTCGTCGTGGCCAAAAGGATAAGAGGTCCGATGCATTCGTATCGAGCGATGCACCGGTGTTCGAATCCCGCAGGCGGGTACCATTTTTTCTAATGATATACGTACTCAACATTTGTTCACGATTTACTTCCACGGTGAAGGAATAACAACGCGCAATAAAAATCAAACCCGCAAAATTATAATTTGCGTAATTACTGGTGGTCGGACCTCTTGTGAGTCCGCACGGGTAGGTACCACCGCCCCGCCTATTTCTGCCGTGAAGCAGTAATGCGTTTCGGTTTGAAGGGTGGGACAGCCGTTGTGACTATACTGAGACCTTAGAACTATATCTCAAGGTGTGTGGCGCGTTTACCTATTTAATAGGTCGAAAATTAATTCATTTATTAATACGTAATGACAAACAATTTTTTTAACTTGTGTCTATTTATTAGATAGCAGATGAATGTAATTAATAATATAAATACCGCCACCCACCTCGAGACATGAGTACTAAGTCTCCATTCTATATCAGTAGCTGCCCCACTCTTCAAAAAGGGACGTATTATTATTTTATGGCAGACATAGTCAGGGTGGTGGTATATACTTGTGGGGAATTACAAGAAGACCTACCATCAATAATTACGGAAATTACATTTTTTATGGATTAGATTCAGTTATTGGAAGTCAAGATTAGTTAGGTAGATTGAGTCAAGCACGTTTTTCATTAGAAAAATTCGTACCACACACCTTGATACCTGAAATTCCTTAATTGTATTGTTTCACGGCTGAAAAACCAAAACTAGTGACGGAATAGGCGGATGGTGTTAATTGGATGGTACCTGTTCTGTCTCACCTTTATTTTCTGGGCCTGGCTCACCGATTCCCCTGAACGCTCGCCCAAGCGTTCGATCCTCTCCGAGGTCAGAGCCCTGGCGGGGTGAATAGGTTACCGCGGTCATTACTGCAACCATACGTACGACTTACCCCAAAGATGCCTGATCGACGGAGCCTTCGAGGTGAAATGAATGCTCTAGAAAGTTGGCCGTTTCGGTAAGGCGGACCTGTAACTAACTTTTTTTTTTTATTTGCTGTTTCATTTTGATTTAGTCGCATAATCCTTTTCGTTACGACAGCAAGATAATTTACTTATGAGCTAATTAGAATTACAACCATAATGCTGTCTACCAAGTATGAATGAGGGTTGAAGCTGTACTTTGTTTCTCAGGGTGCAAGGCCTCACCGGGACCACTAACATATTAAATGCCTTCGCAAGAAGACTGACCACAGAAACGCATGCTGAAAGGGTAAGAATAATACAAGTACACAAACAACTGTAATTGTAAATAGAATTGTTTGGATGACAGATTATTGTAGAATATCAGCTTCTTTATCTATATATATAAAAATGAATTGCTGTTGGTTAGTCTCGCTAAAACTTGAGAACGGCTGGACCGATTTGGCAAATTTTGGTCTTGAATTATTCGTGAAAGTCCAGGGAAGGTTTAAAAGGTAGATAAATATCAAAAAGCTCAGAATTAAATAAAAATAACAATTTTGTTTTTCCTATGATATGTCCCGCCGTCGGACGGATTCCTTTTGTTTATTATTTATTGATTGAGGCACTACGAAGTCTGCCGGATCAGCTAGTTATTATATAAATTTCTTTTCATAGATAAACCAGCTGGTCAGTCGTCACCAGGCTATCTTCTCAGCTGGAGAGCAAGCATCCATCTCAGCTATCAGAGAGCACATCGCAGCTTCGATAGCTTGGGGTAAAGACAATGCTGCTGTTGTAGAGGACTGGCTTGAAGACAACTACGGAGAACCCAAGCCGGAGGAACCATCTGCAGCACATTCTACGACGGCTGGTTTTATTGTTTTGCTATCTGCTGTTGTCGCTTTCTTTAACATTCATTAATCATAGTCTTTTCGTAGCTTATAAGTTACGAATACAACAAATACTTATCTTAACAAATGTCTAAAATATCAAAATAATCGTTGCTCGCTAATTGGATTTTTTTTTATTTTTTTGTTTTTTTTTTTGTGTCTGCCATCATTGAATTTATTTTCAAATATTTTACAGTCAATATTTTTGTCGTATTTATTCCCGTAGTTCTTTCAATATTCACTAATTGTAACAATTGTCCAATAAATTGCACCCATTCATTTATTATTACTTCAGAAGCGAAGTATGAATTGTTAAGATAAGTTTAAATTTGAGTACAGTTTTGAATATACCTATAAATAAGATGTAAGTAACAAGACTAACTTGTATATTTTTGGACACGTTTACATAAATTCAAAGAAGTTTTATAAGTATTTATTAAATGTCTTTGGAGGCATTTTTGAATTTCCTTAAAGAAAATTTTAAATGAAAATAATATAATGATAATAAATAGCATAATGTAATATTAAATATTTATGTAACTTAGAATTTTAATTCACTAAGTGCCAACAGAATAGGTGATACAATTAAGATGTTTTTGTTGTTATTTAAAACTACGTAATAAATAAAAATCCTAAAATAAAAGCTTGTTTGATTTGCTTGTAAATTGAGAATCCATTCAATTAAAGCAAGCAATAGTTGGAGGAAAAGTATGCAAAGCCTTGCAAGTCGACGCGTACCTCAATGAAGGCAGAAGCACTTGGAGAGAAATAAATAATATTAGTATATTATCAAAATAACCTTTCTACTCATATCTATTCATAAAATATTTATAACTACTGATACCATGCGCCCCACGATTTTTTTACAATAAAATTATTTTTTCTTACACTATTTTTAATTCAAATTTATTAAAATATATTTTCTATTTTTTAGTTGGATTTTCTATAAAAGCGTATTTTGTTAGTTTTTTAAAACTATTAGGTATTTATTTTTCATTTTTTATTTGAAATTCAACTTTTTAAAATTGTTTTTTCATTTTTTTTTAAATATTGAATTGTTATCGGTCCTTAATAAGTATACCAAATTTCGAGTTAATCCGACGTTTTGAAGGGTTCAAAATCATGTTCAAAGAATCCGTTACAAACATACATACGTCTTAAGCTAATAAAAGCGTATTAAAAAAGAGTAGAAACATCACATCAGTAATCCACGTAGAAAACACTTTTTTCATTTAATTTTTTAACTTCACACCCCACATTTCGTAAAGCAGGCGGGATTGATAATCCCAATGTAAAAAGGTTCTATGATATGGCTATAAAATTCATAGAATTTAGAAAACAACTGACTAGGTGGAATGTTATCAGACCTATCTTTTTTTGAAATTTCAGAGAATGGATTCCTAGCTCTGAAGCTGAAATGTAAGAAAACTGCTAGGTAGACATTTTATTTCAGAAATTCCAACAATAGTCACATGGATTCTTAACGCGTGACGTGTATTTCAGAAGTACGCGCAAATGCTATCTACAAGATAATATTAATAATTTTATCTGATAGAACTTGATAAAGTCAATCAAGTGTATCGGCAGTTCCCGTTCGCTGGAATATTGAGAAGATATCTCTAGATTTAAATGATCTTATTATTCAGAAAGCGGTATATTATATATCGTACAGTATACTATGTATAGTGGTAGTTGGATTGCCTCCTTATTATAGTGGTAACTATCTATATATGTAAAAATGAATTGCTGTTCGTTAGTCTCGCTAAAACTCGAGAACGGCTGGACCGATTTGGCTAATTGTGGTATTGAATTATTTGTGAAAGTCCAGAGAAGGCTTAAAATGTAGATAAATATGAAAATCCTAGGAATTAAATAAAAATAATAATTTTGTTTTTCTTTCAATGTATCCCCGTCGGACAGGTTCCTTTTGTTTGTTTTAAGTTTATTTTGTACAAAAGTTAGGTCTTTTAGCTATCGATTGAGGCACTACGAAGTCTGCCGGGTTCGCTAGTGTTTAATCTATACTAATATTATAAAGAGGAAAGATTTGTTTGTTTGTTTGTTTCGAATAGGCTCCGAAACTACTGGACCGATTTGAAAAATTCTTTTTCCATTAGATGCCGACATTGTCCCTGATGAACACAGGCTACTTTTTTATTTTATTTTTTTGGTTTCATGTATGTTTTAATGTTTCCGAAGCGAAGCGAGAGCGGGTCGCTATATAAAAATAAAACAAACAATATTTTTTTCTTGAAATTTCAGAATATTATAACTTTGACATGCTACTGTGTAAGAAAAATGTATGATATGTACTATGGCATGTTATTACAAAAGTTAGCGCAACTCATCACAATTCTAAAATGGTGCAATACTATGACAATACTTGTAAAAATTCTAAGAAATCTCTTATCAAGAACCAAAAAGATTGTTTAGCTTAGTTTTTGAAAACATTACCTACTGTACAAAAAAGGGTTTTGAGACTGTGTCAATGAAAGCCATAATAAGAAATTAAGATATTTATTGCATACTTAAATTAAAGGTTCAAATAGTTGACCATCTACGTCAACACACGCCTCACAACGCCTTAAAGTCCGTCCGACGAATTTTTATTTAATTCCGAGTGTTTTCGTATTTATCTACCTTTTAAACCTTCTCTAGACTTCCACAAATAATTCAAGACCAAAATTAGCCAAATCGGTCCAGCCGTTATAGAGTTTTAGCCAGACTAACGAACAGCAATTCATTTTTATATATTAAAAACTACGAATGTTTTGGTCCTATTTGGAACTGCAATTAATAGTTATATTACCTAAATAGCTGATACAAAAAAATGTGGGGATATGTTCACATTTGTAACCACAGTATCTAATCATAGGGTGTAAGGTGTCAAATTACAACAATTTTGCAAAAAATTGATGTAACTTTGAAAAAAAAAAAACCTGGATTTTTATTTTATTTTTCCATGGGTAGTTATCAACCCGACCATACACCGGTATCGGCTTATTGTTGAATTTTGGGACACGCTATCTTAAAAGTGAAAAAAAATCTTGAAGGTTCTTTATCTTCTTTAGTCTGTTTTTCCGATTATTTGTGGTTAGTAAAACCGTTATTTATGCTGTAATTTGTATTGGCAGTCCGAATAAACGTTATGGGCTGAATATGTTCCAATAATCATTTAAAAACACCATACATCGTTCGTGTTACATTTACACAAAAAAAAACCGTATATGATTATAAGTATTCTATATTATCACCACAATTGAAATCAGATAGCTAAAAAGATCGTGGAACGTTCGAGTTTTTTATCTCTTTAAACTCAAGTGACACTATCGAGTTTTCATTTATCTTATTAGATTAAAGTTCCTCCGATACTTTTCAACCCATTTCTGCTGGATCAGTTTCGTGTGGTGATCGTATGGAAACGATATCGCGATCGCGTATGTGAACCGACCGGCCATTTTGAAACCATAAAAATGGCCCGGAGAAAGTATAAGTGGAAATTCACTTTCTTCTATTTCTTGATACTATTGAACATTTTCACGAATTGTTTACCAATTGACAAGAAATCGAGGCAGACCACGAACGATGCGACATTCTCAGATTCGAAACCAGACGCAAACCCAGCTGAGTTCCACTTGTCCCAGCCGGATACTTTTGATGAAAAAACTAAGTTTATCCCAGAGGATGATTCGAAACGAACTGCGATTGTGTCAACTAATGCAGAAAGAAATCAGGCAGGAGAAACTGTCAGACCAGGTCAGACGATTAGTAGCTACGAAGTGGAAATCACCATAGAAGAAAATCGTTTCAAAGGAAGAGCCGTTATTGAATTGGAACTGGATGCCAATACGAGGGATGACCCCATAAAATTATATTCAGAGGATCTAGATGTAACCAGTGTACGGACCGGGGTCTTTACGGAAGCCAACAGCCTAGCAGCCACTTTCAGACTTAGAGATGGTTTTTTGGAGATCACTCCCGTACAGAGTACTACTTCATACGTTGTTGTGGTGGAATATACTGGAATACTAAGGAATGACGGCAACGGTATCTATCGCGGTGAAGGAAATGGCGTGTAAATATGTTACTTTTATAATACATTGAAATGTTTGATTTAATTATATTTTTATATTCAATCTGTTGTTTCTAAATTTTAAAATGTATAAATAACTTAATAGAAACGAGATTTAATCCTTAATTTATTTTAAAATATATGCATTAGTTTTAACCAATTAAAACATTACACACTTTACTAAATAGTATCGTGCATATGTTATAATTTAGTACACTTTTCAATTTCGCCAAGAAATTGTTAGTCTTTTCTCAAAGCTACTTTTATAGAGCGTATATTGAGCTCTCATGAGTAGGTATTCCTTTCCTTGTTATTTCTGCAGCGAAGCCAAAATGCGTTCCTGTTTCAAGGGCTTTGTGAATTATAAGGACTCTCCTCTTCTTGTTTTGGGCATCATCATTAAACTAATACATATAAAATATCTTAAATCATTTTTAATCTGTAGGTCCTACCTGGCGATGAACCTACACCCTACACATGCGCGGCGCGTGTTCCCTTGTTTTGATGAACCTAACGAGGCAGCCAACATACGTTTTACGTTCAACGACGTCGAATATAGTAACATTGTCACAAATTCATTGCCCGAAGAAAATGCAGAGTAAGTAAAAATGTACCGTATAAAGGAAAAAGACATTATTATGTGTATTTTCTGCTAAAATCACTTCTAGTGTTAGGTCACTAATAAGTTAAAATTTTACCACTTATAATCAGTGGCGATAAAACAACCTCCCGTAACAATGAAAAATGAAATTAAAGAAAGGCTTAAAAACTTGACCAAATTTTTGTAATATACATACAATAATTGCGATAAATTAGGATCGATATATTTTTACATCTTTTAAGGCAGATGTGTATAGGTTCCAGGTGACCTGGTTCTCTCAAACTACGACTACTCCCAGTTTGTATTACCTTATTGTACTTCATTACCATTTTCCTTATCACAATTATGAATATGTATTATGAATCTCTAACTACAGAACAATGTTCCGTGAATAAACCACTAATTGCAATCTGATCGAAACTTAGACTTATATGTACAAGTAGACGACAAAAGTAAAATACTCGAAGTAAGACCTCTAGTATATTTCGTCTCAAGATGGTGACATCAGATGGCTAGTCAATCCATAGCATCAGCAAAGAAAACATACAAACTTTGTTTCAGGAATCGGTTCCGCGCCCTCGCCAGTTCTCCCCACAGGTGGGGAATGATCGCCCACGATTTCATTAATCTTAATATACCAACAACGGACGTGCTGTTGGTAGGACGACCGGGCCTCAGTAACCAAGATTCGCAAGCTTCATTAGCTATCAATGCATTCTTCAGCTTCCTGAACGAATGGACAGAAAAGCCTTACTTCGAGATCATTCTTAACCAGGAAAGTAGGATGCACGTTATCGCCTTACCCGATGTAGATCGTGACTGGCATGCTCTATCCATTGTTGGCATTTGGTAAGATAATAAGTATTCTATCTACAAAATTTCAGCTTGTTTGACTGTTTTCATGCAAAAAATACCATAGGTCGTAGGCGAAAAATATTCTTCGTTCAGAAATCCAATTTTATAAACTAGATGATGACCGAGCTTTGCTCGGCTTTTTTTTTTTATAACGCCATCTTGTTGTATCTTTAAAGCAGTAAAAATAGTATTATTATTCGCCAATAGATGTCGAGAAGAGTCATAAAGTTGATTATCGATAAAGTTGATTATTGAAAACACGAATAAAACAAAAATTTCTGAAAATAAATTGTAGCTAGATCGATTTATCGTCCCCGAGATCTCCTGTATACTAAATTTTATAAAAATCGTTGGAGCCGTTTCCGAGATTCAGATTATACTTAGTCTGGTCATAAATTCTGTCACATGTTTAATGTAAAATAATTGAAACAAGTTTATTCATTATGTAACCATTCATATACCAAAATGAACTTAACAAAACATAGATTCTTATGACACTAAAGTTTATTCAAAATGACCTCCGTGATTTTGAATACAGGCCTTCAATCTGCGCGGCCAGTTGTCTATCGCAGCACGAACGAGGTCCATGTCAATATCGGCGGCTGCCTTAATCAAGGATGTCTTGAGTGACTCCAAATTGGGATGAGGCTTTGAGCACGCCTTTTCCTCCAAGTGTTGCCATATCTTGTAATCTAACGGATTCAAATCTGGACTGGAGGAGGGCCAGTCTTCGTGCCGGATGAAGTCGATTTCACGCGCCGCCAGCCAGTCTTGTGTGCTCTTCGCTCTATGAGCTGGCGCCGAATCTTGTTGGAATACCCAGTGCCTGTTATTGAACATGGTATGAGAAACAGGTTCCACAAGGTTCGTCAGGACTGTATTTTGATACACAACTGCATTCGTTTTTACACCTTTCTCACAAAAATGTACCTCTGTTAAGCCCCAATAAGAAACTCCCAACCATACCATGAGCGAGGATGGAAAATGACCTCGTTGGACACGCGGAATACGGTTGCTCGCTTCTTCACTACTGTGTGCGTACACCTTATCATTTTGTTTGTTGTAGCTCTCTTCTACGGTAAAAATTTTTTCATCCGAAAAAAGAATTTCCCGATATTTTTTTCCCGCGTACCGCTTCAACAAAGCGCGGCATCTCTTCAGTCTCAGGTCCATTAGACGAGCATTCAAACGATGTCCTGTTTTTCTTCGATATGCCCGAAGCCCTAAGTCTTCATTTAACACCCTTTTCACCGTGGTTCTGCTTAACCCCATCTGAAGGGCCAACAGTTTCTGCTTACGTTTGGGATTTCTTTGAATTCGCGCCTTCACAGCTTTTATCACTGCTGGAGTCCTAACAGACCGAGGGCGACCACTTCTTGACCTGTCATCTACACTAGAGTCTTCATTGTATCGTTTGATGGTACGATAAATGAATCTTTTGGTTATATTCAAATTTTTCAGTATGTTAAAAATTTGAATTGGCGCGTAACCGCAACGATGCAACGCAATAACTGCAACACGGTCTTCTTTAAGCGTCCACTCCATATTTAAAAATGAGTAAAATTCTAAAAGTATACATTTTTGTTTTCATGAACAATTCGAAATTCGAATTCAATAAACTTTTTTGTGGCCAGCATTCTAAAAGAAAAGTTTTTACTGTGTGACAATACTTATGACCTGACTAGGTATATACATCTACAAGATAAGGTATCTACAAGAATTGCTCGTTTAAAGGTATAAGATAATAAATTATAGATAATGGCACATATTGGCGGGATATTAGTCGTACAAAGGTCAATGAAAAAACTACATAGAAACGCAACGAAGATTAAACACAACGAATTAATAAATTGGAATTAAAACATACTGACAATGGTAAAACATGATACATTCTTTTTTCATAGGGAACCATATTTGTTGATGGAAACGACAGCTTCTGTTAAACAAAGAAAAACGGCGCTTGTGAAGATAGCAGAAACCATGGCGAAGCAGTGGTTTGGATACGTCATGTACCCCGAGAACTGGAGATTTGAATGGGTCGTGACTGGCTTGGCAACTTATGCAGCGTATGAGGCTGTTATTAGTGTTAGTGTACTTTTTAATTTTCATACATTTTTTCCCATCAAAAAACTGAGGAAGTTACACGTTCAAACTGTATACCTACTACATTTTTATCGTAATTAAGCTATTTCATAACTTTTATCGCGGGTTTTGAGCGCGGCGACCGAATCTAAAAATTCCGTAACGCAAATAAAACCTAGCATCCTCCACTCCGCCAACCATGTAGCTTGCGTTCAACACATTCACACGTTGCGCTTGTGTAGTATTTGTGAATAAGCGCGCGGCGTGACGTCGCACTGCATGCGCATCATGAAAAGTCTGCCCATCTCTCTTTCGCGCGGTCTAGCTTATGAGGGTGAAGAGGACAGTTAATGTTTTGCTTTTGTTAATCTTTATAAATGTGGCGTGGTCGTATGTTATTATTGTTTTAATATTAAATTATTATTGTCTCATTATAATTGCATAAGTTGATAAAAAATGCTATGCAATAGCGTTACCGCGGCAGTCCCAGAGTGCCACACGTGTTTTTATTTTTTCGTTTAATAGAGTGAATTGATCACATTATTAAATACATATAATCGACGTGTTTCACTCTTGAAGTCGGTTTTCAATTATTATTTTCAAATAACAATTAATTACTTAAATACATATTGAAATTGCAAATCGTTTTACATCATCATAAGAAAACTTGGATAAAATTTTGTCGTAGTCTCTGTGTAGAATGTAATATATTGAGTTCTTAACATTTTTAGGTAAAGTGCATATACTTAAGCATACATTTTTTTTTATTGCTTAGATGAGTGGACGAGCTCACAGCCCACTTGATGTTAAGTGGTTACTGGAGCCCATAGACATCTACAACGTAAATGCACCACCCACCTTGAGATATAAGTTCTAAGGTCTCAATTATAGTTACAACGGCTGCCCCACCCTTCAAACCGAAATGCATTACTGCTTCACGGTAGAAATAGGCAGGGTGGTGGTACCCACCCGCGCGGACTCACAAGGGGTCCTACCACCAGTAAAATATATACTACATATGCACTAAAATCTATTTTTTTCGTTTCAACAGTTTCAAACATCAACTGTGGCAAATGATGTCACATTGCTGGACATGAACACAATCTTCGTCACAGATATAATTCACGAAAGTATGCTTCATGATGCTTACGTTAATGCAAATCCCTTAGAACCCAAAGAAGAGCTCTATGATGAAGATGAAATTAGGAGTAACATATACGGGCTTTCTAAACTAAAAGCTCCCGCTATTCTGCATATGTTGAAATTAGTGCTTGGTGATGAAGGTCAAGACTTCGTTCATTCTGCCGCCAAGAATCTGCTTCGAAGAAGGTAAACTTTTGAATGTTACAGTTAAGAAAATTTTATCTAGGCAAACTTTTAGTTAGTTTTTATTTATTTTTTATTGCTTAGTTGGGTGGACGAGCTTACGGCCCACCTGGTGTTCTGTGGTAGCCGGAGTCCAATAGACATCTACTGTGTAAATGCCACCACCCACCTTGAGATATGATTTCTCATGTCTTAGTTTTTAAAGTGCAACGGCTGCCCCACCCTTCGAATCGAAACGCATTACTGCTTCACGGCAGAAATAGGCGGGGCGGTGGTACCTACCCGCGCGGACTTACAAGGAGTCCTGCCACCAGTAATTACGCAAATTATAATTTTGCGGGTTTTGATTTTTATTACACAATGTTATTCCTTCACCGTGGAAGTCAATCGTGAACATTTGTTGAGTACGTATCATTAGGAAAATTTGTACCCTGGGATTCGAACACCGATGCATCGCTCAACACGAATGCACCGGACGTTCTTATTCTTTAGGCCACGACGACTTCAAGTATGCCTTATTGTAACTAGTTTTCCGTATTAATAACGCTTTTGACACTTTAAATTATAATTTACGTTGTTCGAATCGTTTGAAATTTAAATTTCTTTATTAGTAGCTAGCACTATACTAAAGCGTCGATCAACTTCAGTCATCCATGGTTACGACAAAACTAAAACCTACAAATTTCATTATAGTATAATAATAGAATCTCGAATAGTCAGCATATCGTTGTGTACATCCAAGTGCCGCTACAACTCAGAGCTTAATTAGAAAAATTATTAATACGAACCAAAAAATATAAACATATGTAAAATTAGGTTAACAATGTAATTCATTATCTTCAAAAAATATATTGATAAAAACGATGATGATGATCGTTAGATAAATGTTTTTAGAGAAAACATAAAATGGTATCAATTTCTCTCGATTACATCATCATTATCCTGCCCTTCTCCCAGTCACCTGGGGTCGGTGCAACATGTTTTCTCCTTCCATACTCTTCATTACCATTTCTTCGCTCGCTCCCCTCTTACCCATATCGTCTTTCTCACAATCTATCAATTTCTTCTTAGGTCTACCTCTTCCTCTATATCCTTCCACATTCATAGTTAACACTCTCTTACCAACCTCATTTTCATTTCGTCTCTCTTTCTCTCGATTACTTAATGTGCACAAATTTCTTAAATTCAAAACGAGACTTTGAAATGATTTTAATTTTAGGTCGGTGGAGACGGTGAACACACATAATTTGATCGGCGCCATTATCGATGACTGGTCGATCAATGGCAACGAAATGATTGATGATATAGAGTCGTTCTTAGAACCTTGGATCGAAAACAATGGTTATCCAATGATACACGTTGGACTGAGACAAGACGGTTCTGTTTTTATAATGCAGGTATGATTCAGTGTGTCTCCGAGACGACGTCCTGCGGGATTTTCCCGGGGATGGAGTGCCGTCCTATTAACAGGATGGGTACCGGCGACGGCGAGCCTTCGGCGCGCACTGTGCGGTACCGTGGGGTGGGTTTCGTGGAGCCGGAGTGGTGGGGTTCGATGGGGTTTAGTCGGTAGTCGTTCTGCGGGGCAAGTGCTTCGCGCGCCTTTTTCAAGGCGTAGTCTCCTGTGAGAAATTGGGGGAGGTGAAGGACCTCGGCCCTTCTCTTCTCCCCTTCTTCCTCTCAGGAGGCGCCGGAGTCCGACATAACCCGGTCCGTTACCCCCCTCGACCGGGTATCCGTAAATGGATTCCCCAGCGTAANGGTTTAGTCGGTAGTCGTTCTGCGGGGCAAGTGCTTCGCGCGCCTTTTTCAAGGCGTAGTCTCCTGTGAGAAATTGGGGGAGGTGAAGGACCTCGGCCCTTCTCTTCTCCCCTTCTTCCTCTCAGGAGGCGCCGGAGTCCGACATAACCCGGTCCGTTACCCCCCTCGACCGGGTATCCGTAAATGGATTCCCCAGCGTAAAAAAAAAAAATTAACAAAAAAAAAAAAAGGTATGATTGAGAAATAAATTTATTTAGAAGGTTGTGGTTTTAACATTGCCTGTGCAATGAAATGGTCCCTGTGGACCACAGAAATATGCTTATTGTTTGAATCTTTTTTTAAATATTGTTATTATCGTCTGACTTTTTCTTTTTTTTATTGCTTAGATGGGTGGACGAGCTCACAGCCCACCTGGTGTTAAGTGGTTACTGGAGCCCATAGACATCTACAACGTAAATGCGCCACCCACATACGGACAACACCCACAACCAACATACGGACCATCGATCTCCCGAGCAATATCACCCGCTCGGTGACGGTATTTCCGTTCGACGTTAAGCATTCCACAAATCATTGTGTATTTTTCTGGTTGGTTTCCAATGGCTAATGTGGGAGACGAGTTCCCCGCCTACTTCATTATTAGTCCATCGGAACACACACAAGTCGACATTTATTTCACTACTGTTGATACATGACGTGATCGACCCTACCAAAATTTCCTTACTAACAAATTGAAAAATTCAGATTGAATTGATCAGATTGAAATTCAGATTTATATTGAAAACAGAGAGGAAATTCAAAAATTATTTACTAAATTTCAGGAGAGGTTTAGCTTCACACCTCAAGCACACGTCAACTATGAAATCCCCATCACATATACGACGAAGGCCAGTCCCAACTTCAACAATATTCGACCGATACTCATGATGGATGCGACTACAAACCTCAACGTTCGTCTCACCGGAGACGAATGGGTGCTTTTCAATATACAGGGACAAAGTAAATAATTTAACGTAATTTTAAATATTTTTAGCTAGTTGCTCGATTTGGCTAAGTGGGTAATTTATTCCTATATAAATTCTTCTGAACCGTTAAAACAAACATAAAAACAATAAACAGTGTAAGAGTGACTTTTCAGAAGTGGAAATAAACTTACAAATATTAGAGTCTATAAGATGGGCCATAATTTTGACGTGACAACGTCTTATAATTCGCTGGAGCCGGCTGCACGCATGAAAAAACATGACTCATGTGGCGGTACCTCGCTTTGAGGCGTTCTATTTAAAGCTTGAAGTGCAAGCGAGAGCGCGCAACGAGCGACAAAGAGGCACAATCGGCCTCCGCGTTTGGCAGCATTTGACATCTGTCTCTCTCCTACTTGAGTGAGCGATGCATCCGCGTGGACAGCTGCTATACAATAATACATTTACATGTTTTCGTCAAGTATGAAGTTCAGTGAAAAGTGAATGTGGTGTCAATTGTTTATAGCAACGATAATTGCGATAATTGAAAAATGAAACCATTCCATCAGTATTTTCTTATGATGTTGTCACGTTCAACTATCGCCAGTAAACCGACTTTACAGACAACCGATTTTTTTGAAAATAGTCTGGTTATTAATCAAATCCTGCGAACCTAGCTCCTAGTTTATGCCACTACCTCCAATCTTCTATTTTTATAGTTTTAGATTAAAGTTAACTGTTTTAGAAAAATCTTATTTTTGTTTCATTCAAAAGCTTACCATTTCTAAGAAGGATAAAAATTAAGTTAGTAATAAATCTAAGCCCAACGCAAAACCAATGGAATAATGTAAATAAAAGAGAACGAATTTATATTTAATTTTGACATACATCTACAGGCTACTACCGAGTCAACTATGATGATGATATTTGGGATCGGATCCTTGAAGCCCTCGAGGACCCTGAGGATAGAAAAGTGATCCATCCATTGAACCGTGCCAAGGTATTTTCAACCAAATATGTTTTACTGAATATGTAGGCGATTAAAAAAAATATCATTAAAAAAAATACTGCTGTTAACCCATTCTTTACTCGAAATCGAAACATGATATTGGGCTGGTATTTACAACTCAGGTGTAAGTGGATTATGTTCAATTTCACCATCCAACTACTTCCAGGGACTCAAGCAGCAATTGGTATTGCGACAACTCGGTACCGAGATATTTCGATGGGTGGTTAGCGATTCTGTCACATTTTCATCTGGTGTAAATTTGGCCAGTGTGTACTCATGAACATAATACGTACACTCTATACAAATTTTATAACTAAAATAAATTAATGCGTTAAACTCATTTAGACTATAAGTATAACCAGGTTTTGATAACTATATATTAAATTTCTTATTTCTAAAATCTTTTAGCTCGTAGATGATGCATTGAATTTGGCAAGATCTGGAAAATTGGATTATGAGATAGCATTCAAGGTAGTTCTATCTATGGAGCACGAAACCGAGTACGCTGTATGGAAAGCCTTCGTCAGGAATATGGACTTCTTGAGAAAACGCCTAATTGCTCACGTCACAGAAGACGACGATTTGGATCCTGATATTTATTTGGTGCGTGGGTACATCATTATGTATTAATGAGCTTTAGATCGCGTGAGCCAACACCTATATTCAGTTGTGAAATGAAAACACCGCAAAAACTACTGTCGAAATCAATAATTCAATGAGTTAATAAATAATCAAGAATAAAAAAACAAACGTGTGGCAATCGGGAATTGCCGCGATAAAGCTATTGCATAGCATTTTTTATTAACTTATGCAATTATAATTAGACAATGATAATTTAATATTAAAACAATAATAAAACAAGACCACGCTATATTAAACATTAATAAAAGCAAAACCTTAACTGTCCCCTTCACACTCATAAGCTAGACCGCGCGAAAGAGAGATCGGCAGACTTTTCATAATGCGCATGCAGTGTGACATCACGCCACGCGCTTATTCACAAACACTACACAAGCACAACGTATGAATGTGTTGAACGCGAGCTACATGGTAGGCGGAGTGAGGGGTATAAGGTTTTTTTCGTTACGGAATTTCATGATTCGGTCGCCGTGCTCAAGGCCCGCGATAAAAGCTATGCAATAGCTTAAAATTTTTTCTGAATAGAAAAATTGATTTTGGCATGATCAATAAAATTGCCATTATTTTATAGAGGATGGTGCGTAGAACTGTGGGTGCGCTTGAAGATGAAATTGGATTCAATCCTGATACGTCACTCACTGAGCCTGCAATGGTTTCCTTGACCAGAGGTCTGGTAATGGATCACGCCTGCAGGGCCAATTATGAGCCATGCATTGCAGCCGCTATCGATTTGTTCTATAATCCCAATAACAATGAAGAAGTGTAAGTTTATTTCAGAAAAGACAATGAATATTCGTTCATTTGAAACACGATCCTGCCTTTCATTAATAATGTATTACAGCAGTCACGTCAGAGTTAACAATACAATATAATATTTAGTATCACGAGCAATATAGAAAATTTAGTTTAACATTTATAGAAGTACTATTTTTACTGAAGGATGTTTTTTTATTATTTATTGCTTAGATGGGTGGACGAGCTCACAGGCCACCTGGTGTTAAGTGGTTACTGGAGCCCATAGACATCTACAACGTAAATGCGCCACCCACCTTGAAATATAAGTTCTAAGGTCTGAAGTATAGTTACAACGGCTGCCCCACCCTTCAAACCGAAACGCATTACTGCTTCACGGCAGAAATAGGTAGGGTGCCGTACGGACTCACAAGAGGTCCTACCACTCGTAATTACGCAAATTATAACTTTGTGGGTTTGATTTTTATTACACATTATTATTCCTTCACCGTGGAAGTTAATCGTGGTGAACATTTGTTGAGAACGTATTTCATTAGAAAAATTGGTACCCGCCTGAGATTCGAACACCGGTGCATCGCTCAACACGAATGCACCGGGAGTCTTATCCGCTAGGCCACAACAACTTCATATTGATTCTGAAGTTTTTAAATGTATGGCCAGCGCAAAATTAAATCAAATTTATTGCAGAATGTTATGGATGCTTTTGTATTGAGGTCATTTTTACAGCAATAAATCGCTATAGCTTAGTAGTAACAAAAAATGATAATTTATAGTACTATCTAAAATATGTATATACATAAAACTGTGGTAAAGCTGGCTTCCAAAACGCTGATCACACTTACCTTTTATAAAGTTTAATTAATACAGTTAATTCTAGTTTATGTCAACCCTTTAGAAATGCAAACGTAAAATTAACTACGTCTACAAACTGCTTTTTTTAACGTTATTTTACTTTGGAATTAGCATAATATTCCAATACTTAACATATTTGAAGATTCAATATTACATGGATTAAATCAATCTCATTTAGTCTTGAAGTATTTTATTGAAAAACTAGCGGCACGCTCCGGCTCCGCTCGGGTCTTTAACAAAAATTTCAACGATATTTGACGTTGTTTTATTTTTTTCAATAAAAGAACACTTATTGTGGCATGACTATAATAGTGAGACTTTTTGTAAATAATAATGTGTTCTACAAAGTCATAGTACATTATTTTATTCTATCATCAATAGTTTTCGCAGGGCACGCGATGTAAAGAATATTTTAGATTAAAAAAACCCCTTGGGTTACATTATTGGAGTTTTAGTAGGATCGCTAATTTTTTCAAAAAATATTATAGCCTATTTCACTCGGGAATAGTGTAGCTTCCAAACAGTGAAAGAATTTTTCAAATCGGTTCAGTAATTTCAGAGCCTATTCAATACAAACAAAAAAACAAATCTTTCCTCTTTATAATAAATAGATTGGTATTTTTTGTCTCAGAAATCCCAACATCCCATCTGATATCAGACCAGCGGTCTACTGTACCATGGTAAGAGAAGGAGATGAGGACGTGATAGAAGCATTGAAAGCTAGATTGGAAGTTGAGGCAAACCATTACGAGCGAGTTGTCATATTAGAGTCGTTGGCCTGCTCAGATGATCAAAACTTTATACGAGAGTGAGTATTTTTTAATATTATTGAATTTTTCTGTGCTGGTCATGTAGCAAGACTTAAGGACCAGAGATGGACTGCAAAAATAACTGCATGGGAAGGGCCACAAGGGAAAAGAAAAAAGGGTCGCCCGATAAATTGGAGGACGATATAAAAGCTACTGCTGGCCCTCGATGGATACAGGTAGCAATAGAATCAAATGGAAGGACTTGGTAGAGGCCATCACCATGTTTAATAAAATTATTAAAGACCTATTTAGTTTGTATTTTAGCAGGAAATAAAAGGCTTTTTATTTTATTTTATTATTGATTTTTTCTATATAACCTCTGCTCCTAAGTGTATAATAGTTAATTTGTGTTCGGGATATTGTCTAATTGAAAATGTATCACCAATATCATAAATCTTGTGGCTAATAAGACAATATAGGTAGTGTATGTGTTTTAACTGTAACACAAACATGCTTTAATGCATTTTTTTATTTTATATCTTGGAGTCATCTTGGCTTTCGGTAGCCACTTAACTTCGAGTATGCAATACGGTTCGTGTGGTTTTTTTTATCGAGAGATTAAATAATATGACTTATTTTATTTCACAGTTACCTTGAAGAAACGATAGCTGCAGGTAATGAATACGGTGTAGAAGAAAGAGTCAGGATATTTAGAGCAGTAGCTGAAAGTAGTTACGAGAATGCAAGAGTGGCTTTAAGCTTTATTTCAATGCGCACTAATGAGATAAGAGATAAGTAAGTTTCTTTTTCGCTTTCTGTTACTTTTTAAGAATAATTTTAAGTCAATGCTTAGTTATATCAGACTATTTTTATAACTAATAGTGATTTATTCCACATTAAAATTTTGAATTCAAAAAGGCTTTACTTCTGATTATCTGATGTCCCTTTGTGGTCAGGTCTTACCTAGAGTTTGCCATACTTTTCTGCTCATAGTTTTTCTTCTCCAGAGCGGACCATCTACTTTCTGTCGTCCCTTCTTCTTTTTACTTAACGAGGACACCGCATTGTAATAGCTTTTGACCTTTTTTGTGTCTCACTTCGATCATATGATATATCCAACTTCATTTGTGTTTGTTTACTGTATGTGCAACATCAGTAATATTTGTCTTTTGTCTTATACGAGTTAATTTATCTCGTAGTCTAATATTTACAATTTGACCGAAATATATGTTTTTCTTTCCCATACCTTTTCGCCGGTAGCCTAATGGATTATTTCAGCTATGCGCGGAGGGGATGACATTATATTGTCCTACTTCCTCCTTTATTTTAAATGGTTACGATATTTTCTTGGTTTGTATCATAGCTGCGAAGTTTTCCTGATGTTGTTGCATTTAAGCCTTGTGATTTTAGAGCATTCTATAAATGCATAATTATGTCTAAGAGAGTCAAATGCTTTGTTACAGTCAACAAAACCTAAGTAGTACATATATCTTTCCATGTTCATTGCTTTATGGTAAAGGTATTGTGGGTCAAATATCCAGTAATTTTGTCGGAATTTAGCTTGCTTTTCGGTTAGATTTTCTTCTTGTTCCTTTCTAATACGACTTAATATGACAGTTGATATTTTTTTTTAAATTTTGATAGACTAATAGGTCTGTTGTTATTGATTTAATCTTTGTTGCCTATCTTATGCAGTGGTAGAACAGTTGACGTCGTCCGTTGTTTTGGTTATTTGTTTTTTTAATATTATTTATTATATTATATTTCGCATAATCAATCACAAAGATTTATCAATGGAAAAAAGGAGGTGTGTCACAAACAAAAAAAAAATATTCCACATCAACGTTACCACCTTGAGATATGTTCCTGTACTTGGATGTAGGATGTGTTCCGAAAAAAATGTGTATGAATTTTTGAAGGGAATACGAGATTTCATACTCGTCGTTGTAAAGTCTTAATTTTATAGTAAAACAGCTACCTCACCCTTCAAACTCAAACGCATAACTGCTTCACGGCAGAAAGTGGTGGGGGTGGTGATGGTACCTACCCGTTCTGGCTTACAAAACGCACCACCATCATTCATTACGCAAATCATGTTCACGGAGACAAATACGAAAGAACTTCAAGTATTTACCCAGATTAATCTAACCGGATCTCGTGGTAATAATAGATAGGTGCACTGCTTAAGAAGGTTAAACAATGTTGTTGTTATCCAATTGGCTCCCTAGATAACTATAGATTATTATTCTTTTCAAACTAATATGTAATTTCATTTATTTTTCCTTTCTAGTTATGGCGGCCCGAAAAAATTAGAAGAGATACTTTTCGTATTGGGTGAGAACATGGCGAATGATATATTATCTGAAGACGTAAGTAATTAAATTCCAACTTAGAAAAGCTAGCAATTCTTTGAGGATTTTAAGAAATTGTTGACTAACTTATTTATTTTATCACAAAGAAAGTTATTAATTATCAAATATAAGCAACGTGATATGTATGTAGGTATGTTTTTACTTACGCAAAAATGTTTGAACAGATTTGTACAAAATTTTGCTCAATGGTTAGTTTATAATCTTGTTTAGCACAAATACTATTGTCGTGATATATGAAATGACCCGGACAACGCTATATATATGCGATAAAAATACACCAATATATTCGCTACGTAATGGTTTTACGCACCAATGTATCTACAAATCGATTTATGAACCAGAGAGTGGCAACAAAAAACGTTTTATCACCTTGAAAAGGAATAACTTCTTTCTGAATTACATATTTAACTAGGGTGAAACCACACAGCGTGTGAAGCACATAGATGAGGTTCATGAGGTTTTAGAGGAAATAAAAACATTGCCATATGTTCCATAAACCTACATTATATTGGTTGTGGACTGTACTTTAAGCCCGTACCGGTGGGTTAAATGAAAAACTACGATCCTTCTCGATTTTGACACAAAACAGTCATACGTTCCAGTTCGATTGAAAGAAGGGACAACTGTTATTTATTATAATAATATAGTATATAGTCATATAATAATATACTCGTAGTAAGATGTAATGAAATGTCTTTGGGATATGAGAGTAGCTTAGAACCACAATACAACCGTAAGCACATATGCCCATCTAGAACGGGGGTAAAAAAAAACAATTTTTTTTTGGCCCGGGGTCCGAACCTACTGCTAGGTTCCCGCGCCTAAGTGCGCACGCGGCTTAGAGCGACTCCGTGGCAAAAGATGGTAAAGGCCAGGGCCGAAGATGTTAAAGGCCCACCTACTAAACGTCTCCTCTGAGTTCTCGCCCAAGTGTCTCGAGACACAGCCTTAAGGGTCGCCCCAGACGGTCACAACCACAAAACGCCGCCACCGGAATATTTCCTGTAATTTTCATACATTTTAAATGTAGCGTGTGGCGGCTACCGGTGTCAAATGTGTGCCGCGATTTCATATAAAATGTAAACAAGAAGAAATAGGTCGGTTTTGTGGATGTGGCTGGTGGCCCGTGTGGGGCGATACTAAACTTCTCTAAGCGTATAGCGACATTTATGTCATATAGTTTATAATAATACAGGCTACCGTAACTGCTAAACACTGTCAAATAGACTCTGAACTACTTAAAGTATTGAATACCAAACAGAAAATTAAGCCACAAGTAGATTATTAGACCATTTATCTAAATTCTGTTGTGTTACCTTAAGAAATAAAATAATTCTATAATTTCAGTTCCGGATTTGGGTGAGATCGCAGTCGAATGATTTGGATGATTCTCAAGGAGCTGCAAACAGGGCATTGGCGATTGTTCTTGAGAATGTCAACTGGATTGAGCGCCATCAGGATTATGTCTACGATTGGATAGACGAGAACGACGCACCGACTTTAGCGGCGTCATTAATTCTAATTTGTATAACAATCTTTGTTACTCTATTTAATAATTAGATCTTTGTTACTTTTTAATAATTAACATTAATTTTAGGAATCTTATAATTAAATAGTTATTTTTTTTTTATAAATTTAAATCCACAGTATCACGTTTTTAAATGAAACTTTAGCTTTAAGAGTGTTTGGTGTTATTTAGAAACTCCGTAATATCAAATGCGATATTATTTGTAGTTTCAAAAAGTTATGATTCGGTGTTATTGAATTTCGACAATATCTGTTTATCTTTGATGTTGACTTATTCGGAGAGCAGTTTAATATTGTTTGTCAATCACATATATCTGACATCCCAAAGATAAGATACCAGATGTGTGTTGATAAAAATATGGACACATTTTTAAAGATAATCAGATTTTGGATTTAAGCCGAATGCTTAGCTTAAATTGTGCTTAATTGTTGGTCACTTCTTAGTACACAATGTGTACTAAGAAAGTTTGAGAGTATATTAATTAATAGGCTAGGAAAGTATATTCATTAATAGGTAAAATTTAGTTTAAGTAAAATAAAGATTGCACAAAGTGATTAAAGCATTATTAATTAGCTGTAAAGATATTTAATCACATATTAATATTGTCAGTTATGTTATGTTTTATTAATATTTAGTTAATTACGTATGATATCATAATTTTTTTTGTTTTAACTAATCTGCATTTTCACTTAAAATTACGTTAATTAATAAAACAATTTATTCAATATTAATTTTAATGTTTATTTTAATCCAAATGTAAATAAGTTAAATTAAGTATAATATGAAATAAAAGAAATGTGAAGCAAACGCGTCCTCTTGCTTCATATTTTCATTAAAATTAACTTAAACATAAATTATATCTTAAATATTTTTTAATGTAAAAGTGTAAAATTTTTAATTGACTAAGGCACATTAATATTATATTTTATGTAATATGTACATGTTACATTTAAATAAATTATAATTCTTAAAATTAGAAGCGCATAGTTATTTTATTCGCAGTTTTTAATTTTGATTAACTATCGTAAAATTTAACCATCTATTTTGCTGGCAATATCTATGTAACTGGCAATGAAAAAAAAGAATTGAAATTGAAAAGAATTGAATTAAAATTGCTTGAAAAAAAATCAGAACTCATTGAGGCAGAAATTAAAAAAATATAGTTTAAAAAAAAAAAAAACTTGAAATTGTATACCAGCTTCTTTACTGTTTAAATACAACATAATCGCCAATGCCTAAGAAATATTAAAACGAGTCTATGGTCAACAAGCAGTAACGAACCCAATAACGGAGGTCAGATCGCAAACATTACAATAGAAATTTGACTGACTAATAGTTGTAAATATTACATTTTCTCCACGTGTTGACCGATGACTTTATTTGCAGAACTTGTGCATTTGCAAAAAGAAAAGATCTTACATTAGCGCAGTTTTCTTTTATTCTATGATAGCTCCCACTACATTTGTGACTAGAATTAAAATATATATGTTAATTCTAAACAAGTTTAAGTCTTAAAGCGACTTTAAAAAAGATGGAGAATCGTCAACGAAAAGCAAAATTAAGAATTTTATAATTCGTTACTGTCACAAAGTCAAAGAATTTCTATTTTATGTAAAACAATCACGCATCCCACTGTACTGTTTTAGGCGTTGGAAATCAAATCTATGTCCTGATCTCTTCCTTGCTATCTTGTGTATTAAACGAATTACCCTAATATATTTGAATAATATACACCATAATATTATATATATTAGTATGTGATGTTGTACTGAGTATAGCATAATGATTTGATATCAGTCAAAAGCAAATTATTTAGTGATTTTTTTTTATATAATTCTAGGTGGGTAGATCATAGCCCTCCACGTTAAGGGGTAGTCCACAAGCTCAACATGGAAAAGAACAAGAGACGGAGTTGAGACCCAATTTCTGTGCCCAACGAAATTATCCCTCCCATCAAACTGGAATGCATGATTGCTTCATGTTTTTTTATTTATTGCTTAGATGGGTGGACGAGCTCACAGCCCACCTGGTGTTAAGTGGTTACTGGAGCCCATAAACATCTACAACGTAAATGCGACACCCACCTTGAGATATGAGTTCTAAGGTCTCAAGTATAGTTACAATGGCTGCCCCACCCTTCAAACCGAAACGCATTACTGCTTCACGGCAGAAATAGGCAGGGTGGTGGTACCTACCCGTGCGCACGCACAAGAGGTCCTACCACCAGTGTTACCATTTCAGACTAGAAGCTTAGATGTTATTTAGAATTCACTGGGAAAGACTACAGTTCTGTTAAAAGTTAACAAACACTAGCGACTAAACATTAAATTAGTTGTATAATAAATTAATTAATCTATAACATTGAAATTATTCAAAGTATATCTAACATTAAAAGCAGTCTACAAATATTTGATTAGCTTTGTTTTTTACCACTTCTACTATAGCACCAAGTGTGTTCAAGAGAACTCACACCTGGTAGCTTGCTATTCATAATACATTACGGAGCATTTGCGTAATAATGTAATAAAGTGATTGCACTTCCAGCGTATTCATTGACGGATTTATTATTGAAATATCCGTTGAAAATAACAGATGTTGAAGAACTTTTGTTTACAGTTCGTTAGTTAATCAAAACAGCCTCAGTATCAGTGTTGAAGCGACTACAAATATTATAGAAGATAAGTTGCTTGTGGACGCGTCAGGCATTACGATCTTGTCTGGTACCGGCTCAGGCGTAGTCGAAGATAATGGCTGAAACGTTAAAAAAAAACATTTACTATTGAAATGAAATTCTTTTTAACTTAAATATTATCTACGAACGATTTGTAACCACAAAATATTAACTTTGCCGCTGATACCAAAGAAAATCCCCAATCTTGATAAGTATCAACGAAATAGACTGAACGTGGATTTTTTGAAGTGAAACTTCTTTAGAATCGCTCTGATTTCAAACTCGATGAAACGAAAAAATAAGTCCATAGAGACACAAACACATAAAGGTATGGTATTCAGCCGGCGAGAGAATGAGATAGAACACATTAGACGTTCTTAGTGTAGTGTTTTTTTTTTTTAATACAGCGCCATCTGTGAGATTTTTTAATACTAACGTATGTATGAAACCTCTTGTAGTGAATTTTAATTTAGGATTATACGTGAAGTTAAAAATTAATTCACAGAGGGCGCTACCTCATACTATAAAAGACGATTTACAATTATTTACTAATGACAAAATTTTACATATACTTAGACATTTAGGATAATTGTATTTTAATTTTTGAAAGTTTCACCTCTACCACGTGTGAATTGCGTATGCAAATGTTTTCTTTTTTTTTGGTTATAAAAATACGAGAAGTACATAAAATTTTAATTAAATATATTAAACGGCTTGGAGCGAATACTACATTCCTGTATCGTTAGATAATCGTTAACCTTAGCCCATTGAGTTTCTCGCCGGATCTTCTCAGTGGGTCGCGTTTCCGATCCGGCGGTAGATTCTGCGAAGCACGGCTCTTGCTAGGGTTCGTGTTAGCAACAACGTCAGGTTTGAGCCTCGTGAGCTCGCCTACTAGTCAAGGTTACGCTGAAATAGCCTCTCAAAGCTATTTATTAGCTTAGGTAAGAAAAAAAAAAAGTTAACCTTACGTTCGGCTTTACTACACAAACCTTGATAGGTTTGTTAACTTACTGGTAGTTATTGAGCAATTGTAGGATATTACAACAGAGTGCACAAATTTACTAATCTATTTACTCATATATTTATAATTGGGAAGATATTAGAATTGTTAATGTTGCGTTTTAAAGACGTCTTATTGTACGCGTTCCAATGAAATTTTAGTGTGTTTATTATTATTATTATTTAACGACCGTCTAGTGTAGTGGTAAGTGACGTGGTCACTACTTAAGGGGGTCGCGGGTTCGAATCCCGCCAAGGAAAGATATTTGTATGATAAATATAAATGTCTTTTCCAGGGTTATGGATGTATATTAAATATATGTATGTGTATAATAAAAATCTTACATTTATTTCCGTTATCTGGTACCTGTAACACAAGTTCTTTACGAACTTATCACGGGACCAGTTAACGTGGCGTGATTGTTAGTAAANGGGTCGCGGGTTCGAATCCCGCCAAGGAAAGATATTTGTATGATAAATATAAATGTCTTTTCCAGGGTTATGGATGTATATTAAATATATGTATGTGTATAATAAAAATCTTACATTTATTTCCGTTATCTGGTACCTGTAACACAAGTTCTTTACGAACTTATCACGGGACCAGTTAACGTGGCGTGATTGTTAGTAAATATATATTTATTTATTTATTACTTACACTTTCAGATGATATAATAGGCAACGGTCTGGGTTCTCCATGCGGTATCTTGATGAGGAATCTGTTATTTTCGCGTCTGAAACATACGAGTTTGACCGTTTAGATGCTTACTACTGCGGATGAGTTAATTGAACCTGGTGTGATTAGAATAATGTATTATTTAATTATACTATTTATTAGTATTATGGTATCATTTAATTTTACTAACTAAAAGATACTAGACAATGACCTTTTTTTTTTTCGGGTAGAGGGCCGAAACTCCTACGAGGTCCCCGCGCAAAAGGGGCGCGCGGGGTATGTGAGACTCAACGATCTGCATGGTGTTGTGAGCAGACCGTGGGCCCAAGGACTAGACGATGACTAGCTTTGCTCGGTTTTTTTTTTTTTGGATAAGTGGCTTAACAACGCCATCTGCTGAAGTAGCTTTAGTGCTATTGTGTCTTTAAAGCAGTTAGTTGAAATTATGAAAAAATTGTATTATTATTCGCTAATAGATGTCGGGAAAATATCAATAAAGTTGATTATTTAAAACACGAATAAAACAATATTTTCTGAAAATAAATTGTAGCTAGATCGATTTATCGCCCCCGAAATCCCCTGTATACTAAATTTTATAAAAATCATTGGAGCCGTTTCCGAGATTCAGATTATATATATATATATATACAAGAATTTCTCGTTTAAAGGTATAAGATACATTT